TGATATTGATTGCGTTTTAATTTACATTCTACATAGATTAACCATACATTTCCTTTTCTAAATTATTTTTCAAAATCCCGTAAATGATTCTCTGAATTATATGTATAATTCTTTCTTTAAAAAAATATTTAATTATATACATATACATATTAATTATATACATATATGTATGTGTATGTGTAATTTCCCAAGGAATTATTATGATTATCTAGGATAATTTGTTTCTCTTCTGAAAAATAGCAAAATTGGAATTGAAAAAACTATTTCGTCAATTTTATTATAACGTTCTAGTCACAAAATGATTTTAATTCTGCGCCGCATGGCTATATATATATATATATATAATTATATATATATATATATATATATATATATATATATATATATATATATATATAATCTTTTATTGAGCATAAAACCGATTTGAGCGTTTATCTTGAACGTGATAGCAGCGTTGCAAAAATCGTAATAAAAGTGCAACGAGCAGTTTAATAAGCCCACGTGAGGTGTATAATAATAGTGTTTTTAACATCTATCAAAAGACCGTAAAGTTAATCGGCCGTCGTCGCTACTTCGGAATTTTCACGAGCCTCATCTCAGGTCCGCCGTAGGATTATTATCGGTTATCTATGATCGATCGGTCGCAGATATGACTTTTAGTTGCCGCGCATTATCCCGAACGAGGTCGTTCGATCCGCCATGAAAGACTTGTAAAGCGCGAACAAGATAAAGAAATCGACGATCGTGAAGTCACGAGCAGGCTCGATATCGTCATGTATCTCGCTAAATGGTATTAATAGGTAGACAGATTTACGATTATGCTCGAGTAATATGAAAATTGCCAATTAACCGCATCCGTTCACCTCCGTATCAATATCGTCGACTTTTATTTTTAGCAAAGTAAACTATGCCGTATCTCTTTTTACCATATATTTGCTAAAAATAGATTTATATTGGAATAATAGCATATTAATTTTTTCATTAGATTTTTGAAACAAAAAATATCTTACACATATGTCATAATAATAAAAAATAAAACTATAGCAATATTAAACATTTTCATCTCACTTTTATTTTGAAAAAATTTTAACAATTATTTATTTTTACTCTCAATCTTGTAAATATATAAATACTTCCTTTGGTTTTTATAAAGATTGGGCTACGAAAATATATATTATACTATATGTTACCAAAATTATTTTTAACTTGATAAGCAACATTGAAATATTTTGATATATAAAAATATTAATATCATCACAGATATAAATATTTTAACATAATTAAATATCTCAAATTAAAATCTAGATTATTATATCATGTGCATATTTTACAATGACAATTTAATCACTACCGCGGAAATAAATAATTTCATACATAAGTAATAAATAAATTTTACTCACCTCATAGTTGATCTGTCATTCGAGCCAAGTCTTCTCTTTTGTTCATCTATAATTTCTCCTTTATGACACTTGCAGAAACACATTCACTCGTAAAAACATGATTAATATGTACGACTGTTCGCATACTAATTATCAGAATATTATTAATCGCGTGGCATTATTTTTATTTTATAATTTATATCACTTTATATATCTCAAATATAATATGATAATTATTGATAGATATTGTATTTATTAAACAATAGATTAAAGCACTACTTTATTTTGTATCGATTTGTTGTATATGATTTATTAATAACCGGAAATGATATTTGTGATATGCGACATAATAAAATTAATTAAGATTGATTTGAGAATACACAATCAATATTACATTTCAAACATTTAAGTCCTGCAAAATAAATGTATCACTAATAAATAGTAGTTATTACATCACAATTTCCAATTAATTAAATTATTTGATTTATCCAATGATTGATGTATTACTCCATTACAAAATGATGAAAAAAAACTCTACTTAAATTGACGAAAAATTTTCAGTTCACACTGTTCCGATAAAAAATTCTTGTATGAATCGCTCGGTGCACGAACTAATTAATCGCATAAACTTTAATTATAATAATAAGAGATAATAATAAGAAATGATAGTATTGCGTTTGTTTCTATTACTTGTCGCGATCGTAGTTCGAGAAATAATACGACACTCGTGTCTATTCATTTGATCCTCACCACGTGAATGACAATAATAGCGGAATGTAAACAATAGCGCGCTATACATCAAGGCCAAATATTGTACGTCATATAATTCATTGTTATGTGAAATATTTCACGTCCTATTGAATAAACGTATTTTCAAAAAATATTTTCAAAATATTTTCTGGAATTCTTTAAAGTAAATATTAAATATTATATATTCAATTTCAAATATATTTGTAGGAATAATCGCTCGAAAACATCGTATTAAAATAATTATTATTAATTTTATTATTATTTTTACATTATTACTATATTAAATTTGATCATTATACTTTTTTATATTATTATTATTTTTTTTATATTATTATTATTATTACATTAACACTTAAGATTACACGATTTGTCATATATATTCATCTTTCTCAACAAATATAAATTTTGAATGCAATAACAATATAATTCTTCAATCATTCTGAATGATATATTTTAAACCAATGGTTTATTCATTTGTAATTAAAGTAATAAAGAAATGTAAAATCTGTAAGTTTATATTTCGACTTTTTTGATTGTTTTTGCCGTACTATGACGTATGCGCGCTAACGTTTACATACGATAACCTTGTTGTCATTCGTGCGGCGAGACTCGAGCAGGAAAGAGAGGCTCAAAATCACTCCGTCTATCATCGTATATGTAAAACATGTAAGTAGAAGAACATTATAAAATAATTTTCGTTAAATACACAAAAAATTTTCTCTTTCTCTCAGATTATATCGATTACATCTATTTTAAGAACACTATTAGTCCGAGTATTAATGAGATTCGACATATTCTAAAGCTAAATGTAATGTATGCAGATATGCGGTTTATCTGCTTGTTTGCTACGCATGATTTGACATGATCGTGTATCTCTTGATAGACATTGAGATTCGTTGTGCGAAAAAAGATCATCGCTAGATTCGTGCGAAAACGAATTTACTTCCCATTGGTTCCATCGCGTGTTTTTTTTTATTTATTAAGAGGAACGAAAGTAATTACAAGAGGGGACAATTAGACTCATTAGGACAATTGGACTTGATTTTTCTGCAGGTATCTTTAGTTTTCCATCCCCCGGGACGCGAAATTAATGATAACTATAAATGACGATGAAGGATGTTCAAATTGCATTTAATTTTGAATAAAATGCATCAAGTAATTTGATTAAATGAGATCGATTAATAGTGTAGTGTCTGGTTGCCGCTGAATCCAAATCAATGAACAAAGTAATCTGAGTCAATGACTGAGTAGCGAAGTAAATCATATAGCTCAACACTTTCCACGCATAATCTGATTTTTAACGATAAAGCTTTAAAGAATTATAATATACACGGAGAAAATTTTACAATACAAATTTCATGAAAAATAATTCCCTTTTACAATATTTATTATAAAGGAAACAATAACATTGAGATATTTATTATACTATAAAAAATTCTAAATTATGTATTTGTTTCATTATTAATTAACGATTATGTATTTTTTGTGCATTAAAATATTTGAATAATAACAATGCGCATTTGTAAAATATATACATACATACAATAATATTGGATTAAAAAAAATATCCTACATATAATTTTCTCTTATATTAGTATATTCCACAATTTAAAAAAATATATTGTATATAATTTTTATTATACTTACGTAATATTTTTTCCGTGTAACAACCATAATGCTTAGTATATAAATTGATTTCATATTTTGCGAACGAGGTCTTTACGCGCTGCTAAAGGATTTATTTAAAGCAAAATTATTTCGCGTTTTACTCTCTCATGAACTGCAGCATTATTTCTCTCTTTCTCTCTCAAATAAATATTCACGTTGCGATTATACTATGCAATGTGGGATAATGGCATACCAGCTTGATTTTAGTCGGCGGCTAACGGTCTTTTTCGAGGATCGAATGAGCGTGTGAGTGCACCTTGATCCGCGCCGAAGGTGTCTGATTTCAGCAGCCGCTCTTATAGCTCGCGGCATAGACGCGATGAGAATGGGGCCTCTCTTTGAAATGTTCTCTCTTCTCCTGGGCCAGAAAGCCCAGGTTTGCGATCGAGAGTCGTCGACGTCTCTTATGCGTCGCGTTCGATATTTTCGTCTCTTCGGATATGATTTCTCGAGTGATTCATTACGCGGAGAGAAGGGATTAAACGATTACTGAGCTATTCTTTAATCTAGTGTTTAATCGAGAGTAATACGTAACGGTACGTTGACGAAGAGGTCAGAATGACTTGGCGCTCTCTCGTTCTCTCTCTTATTCTCTGGCAAAGTAGCACATTCTCAGCTACCATCGAGATACATTGAGTCAGTTATAAAAGATACGTCTATTATATCGGGATCAATATCGTAAATGCAATGACTTACAAAATTGTGATTGTGTATTTCAAAAACATAAAAAATGTTATAAAATTTAATTCATAAAAAATATAAAATTTAATTTCTCTTTAAGCACGAAATTTAGCGAAAACATCGGTTGATTTTGTTCATTTCATCTATAGAAATGAATCATTATGAGTTTTTCTTTGAATAATTAATTAAAAAAAGAAATCAAATAATTAACAAACACACACACGATATAAAAACATGAGATTATAGGATTTAACGAAGTAGATAATAATGTAGATAGTATGTAATGGATAAAACATGTATTTTCAATTTATAAATACTTGGATTAAGAGAGTCAAAGTTAGTCTAATTAATTTTGAAATTTAAGAAAAATAAAGAATAAATCAAGAAAATGAGTTGATATATTTTCATATATATATATATATATATATATATATATATATATATATGTATACCATTTTTTACTATACTATACCATTTTTACTATACTAACAAGATATTAATAACGCATGAGCTACTTTGGTGGTATTATTATTGGAAAGAACGTAACATCGTGAAATAAGACATCGATGTTTTTAGAACCTTTAAAAAATAAAAAACTTATATATATCTTTTCATTATTAAATAATTTTTAATTAACTCTAATCATATCGTGAAAATAAATAAAATATGTCATAAAATTTTTAAATTTATAAACTGGACTTAGAGAATCAATCATATAGTATTACTTACCGTACCAAAACTTTCAATTGATAAAGTCACAATTTTTCCAGCAGTTAATTTGCAAGGTGAAATAGTTCTGTTCATGATTAAAAGAAATATCTTGCGACATCTTCCCGAAGTATAATACCACTTTCCTCTACAACTATAATACAAAACGAGATTCTTATCAGTTTAAATAAAATAAAAAACTAGCGAATTAAATCTGTATTCTTACATCGATTCATATGGAACAATACTATAATCTAACAAAAATTGAGCTTGCCAAAATTGTAGAAAAAGATGAGTGAGTTGGGCAATGTAGATTGCAAGAGGTGCTGCAATATCTCTCGCATTGCTTAAATTCATTACTACCTGTAATAGAAATTTAATTGCTTTCGAGATATTTTCGAATTGTTTCTAATTTTCAAATTATTTGCTGTTTTTACAAGTATATATCATATACTTCGGAAATTATGTATAAAATATTATCTTTATCGAACATTGATTGTAATTGAGGACATTATAAAATTGCAAAATATTTGCTTACAAGCCATATATTTATTGTAAAGTATAATTATAAAAAGAAATTAGTACATACTTGTATACCACATATACTGCCACAAATCATATTTAAACTAATGCTAACCAGGAAGATATTTGTAAACGTAGATTCGATTAATTCCGCGAATCTGCAAAGTCGCGAATTTGAACGTAGTTGCAGGCAATATGAAAATATCGATAAAGCCATTATTTGTAGTACAAATTTAAAAGTATAAAGAAAATCTAAAATAGAACACATATTTTTTAATACGTACTGTATTGCGTGAAGATGCCTACGCAAACAGTTAAACGCTTTATGATAATTAACATCTTCCATTTTGTCTAGTTCCATATGAAAATTAGCGTCACTATTTTTTCCGATATCCTCTAACATATATCTGAAGACAAAAATATTAATGCAAAAATGTTAGTCTTATATTTTAATTTTTAATCGTCATTTCATTAAATCATCCTTGTGATCCTAATATTCTTACCCAACAATTGAAAACATTCCGCAGACATGCTGGATTAAAGTATAATATAAGGTGTCAACTGCGAGCGTACTAAATACGTGAGCGAACACGCCTAGATAACAATGAATCGTTATAGGATAAAAATATTGATCTAATTTCTCGCCATACTCGACTTGAAATGGTAATTTTGATAATCCCGATATGGTCGAGTTTGTTGCGTTCGTGGTATTGTCCTCTAATAACGTCAGAACGATTGGTTTGAGCAAATAAAAGAATGCTGTCATATGCATAAAAACTAAAAAAAAATATGTGTTATATACGAGTAGATTTTCATTGATGCTTATTATTTATGATTTAAAAAATAAAAAATGTCTATTTTAAAAATTAAGCAAAATTTTTTTTTTTGTGTATTTTTTGCCAAATTTTAAAGCTTAAAATAAATTTTAAAAAATTCGAACAATTATATATGATGTAATACAAAATGCATATGCTCGCTCTTACATATGTTCAAACATGCACAGTTTGCTATACATTTTCAATTTCTATAACGTACCTACGTAAAATGTTGTTAGAGATCGTCCATATTCGCAGTGGCGAGCAAGAATAGTTCTTTCCACATCTGTATTTAATGATAGCCAATCATCTTTTATCATTTTAAGGCAAGATTTGATCTATATAAATTGTGCGTGCACAATTTCCATCGCATCAATAATTTTTGTACAAAGGATTACATTGTATTAGTATATAATGATTGCTTACATGTTTGCTGCTCAACATCATGCCCGCTATCTTACAGCTGAATGTTATGCTAATCAGTACAGCTGGCACACTCTCGAAAATGTCATTGAGATCCGTTGCAGTTAATACGTACATTAACTATATTAAATTTATAATATTATCGAACATATTGAGGTTTATCGACAAAGGAAAGAAAATGATTCAATGAATTGAACAAATAAATAATTTGGCATTCTTTTGCAGTTTTTAATATTAAACATACATACCTGAGGTATCATAATACTAAAGCAGAACGTAAACATTGGCACGAAGCACATACATCTGTGGCGCAGCCCGTCATATGGCCATATTCCCGATATAGTCATGTACAACTTAGGAATAATATAGTACCGACTATTCCAAATGTCTTTTTTGTCAAACATTTTATGAAATAGTATTACGAATTATCAGCGATTCCTTGTGTATGCTCATCATTCGGTGAATTATAGGAGTTTAGTTATCGATTTCTCTTAACACGATAAAGACAACGTAATAATTCAATAAGATAATACATGTGCAATTACTTGAACCCTTTCTCTTTCACATTTTCTTTCATCATTTCTCCTTTATCATAATAATAGGGTATATTATCTTCCGGGTCGTTCTTTGAACACGAAATAATGAACGCTTTTGTGTGTGTTTCGTTTCATGTTGAGAGAAACAGAAGTATGTTTCTTTTCAACAATTCAGAAGAAGCAAAGATCGCCAACGCAAGCACACGAGATTAATATAGAATATCGAATAATGTATCATAATTTTATTAAACTTTACGATTTATGGAGCGAGATATATATATATATATATGTATATATATATATATATATATATATTGGATTTGAGTTCAGTTAATGATGTGAATAGTGCGAACAAGGAATTTTATAAAGATAAATTCGGTTTTATAAACTTGTTTTTTGACAGAAGTACAACGGAAATTTTCTAGTATATTCCAGTAGCGTTCACTCCTAAATGATGGCACCATCGTTGGAAGGAATGGCATTGGTATGAAAATTAGAAATTAATTGGAGTAATATATAACAAATTATTTCCTTCAATAAATGATTGAATTTATTTAAGCAACTGAAAAAACTCAAATTATTGCTCTGTCTTAAAGTAATTAGTCAAATTTATGAGAAATGAATTACTTAGCTTTTCTTTAGTGTTTAATCGAGAGTAATACGTAACGGTACGTTAGCGTAGAGGTCAGAATGACTTGGCGCTCTCTCTTTCTCTCTCTTACTCTCTGGCAAAGTAGCACATTTTCAGCTACCATCGAGATACATTGAGTCAGTTATTATAAAAGATACGTCTATTATATCAGAATCAATATCGTGAAATGCAATGATTTACAAAATTCTGATTGTGTACTTTAAAAATTTTAAAAATGTTATAAAATTTAATTCATAAAAAATATAAAATTTAATTTCTTTTTAAGCACGAAATTTAGCGAAAGCATCGGTTGATTTTGTTCATTTCATCTGTAGAAATGAATCATGAATTTTTCTTTGAATAACTTATTAAAAAAGAAATGAAATAATTAACAAATACACACAATATAAAAACATGAGATTACAGAATCTAACGAGATAGATAATAATGTAGATAGTATGTAATGGATAAAACATGTATTTTCAATTTATAAATACTTAGATAAAAAAAAGTCAAAGTTAGTCTAATTAATTTTGAAATTTAAAAAAAATATCAAGAAAGAGAGTTGATATATTTTCATATATATATGTATACCATTTTTTACTATACTAACAAGATATTAATAATACCAGAGCTACTTTGGTGGTATTATTATTGGAAAGAACGTAACATCGTGAAATAAGACATCGATGTTTTTAGAACCTTTAAAAAATAAAAAATTTATATATATATCTTTTCATTATTAAATAATTTTTAATTCATTCTAATTATATCGTATAAATAATGAAAATAAATAAAATATTCCATAAAATTTTTAAATTTATAAACTGGATTTAGAGAATCAATCATATAGTATTACTTACTTACCGTACCAAAACTTTCAATTGATAAAGTCACAATTTTTCCAGCAGTTAATTTGCAAGGTGATAGAGTTCTGTTCATAATTAAAAGAAATATCTTGCGACATCTTCCCGAAGTGTAATACCACTTTCCTTTGCAACTATAATACAAAACGAGATTTTTATCTGTTTAAATAAAATAAAAAACTAGCGAATCAAATCTGTATTCTTACATCGATTCGTATGGAACAATACTATAGTCTAACAAAAATTGAGCTTGCCAAAATTGTAGAAAAAGATGAGTGAGTTGGGCAATGTAGATTGCAAGAGGTGCTGCAATATCTCTCGCATTGCTTAAATTCATTACTACCTGTAATAGAAATTTAATTGCTTTCGAGATATTTTCGAATTGTTTCTAATTTTCAAATTATTTGCTGTTTTTACAAGTACATATCATACTTCGGAAATTATGTATAAAATATAAATATTATCTTTATCGAACATTGATTGTAATTGAGGACATTATAAAATTGCAAAATTTGTGCTTACAAGACATATATTTATTGTAAAGTATAATTACAAAAAGAAATTAGTACATACTTGTATACCACATATACTGCCACAAATCATATTTAAACTAATGCTAACCAGGAAGATATTTGTAAATGTAGATTCGATTAATTCCGCGAATCTGCAAAATCGCGAATCTGAACATAGTTGCAGGCAATATAAAAATATCGATAAAACAGTCATTATTTGTAGTACAAATATTTCTTCTAAAATATAAAGAAAATCTAAAATAGAACAGATATTTTTTAATACGTACTGTATTGCGTGGAGATGCCTACGCAAACAGTTAAATGCTTTATGGTAATTAACATCTTCCATTTTGTCTAGTTTCATATGAAAATTAGCGTCACTATTTTTTTCGATATCCTCTAACATATATCTGAAGACAAAAATATTAGTGCAAAAATGTTAGTCTTATATTTTAATTTTTAATCGTCATTTCACTGAATCCTCTTTGTGATCCTAATATTCTTACCCAACAATTGAAAACATTCCGCAGACATGCTGGACTAAAGTATAATATAAAGTGTCAACTGCGAGCGTACTAAATACGTGAGCGAACACGCCTAGATAACAATGAATCGTTATAGGATAAAAATATTGATCTAATTTCTCGCCATACTCGACTTGAAATGGCAGTTTTGATAATCCCGATATGGACGATTTTGTTGCATTCGCGGTATTGTCCTCTAATAACGTCAGAACGATTGGTTTGAGCAAATAAAAGAATGCTGTCATATGCATAAAAACTAAAAAAAATATATGTGTTATATATGAGTAGATTTTCATTGATGCTCATTATTTATGATTTAAAAAATAAAAAATGTCTATTTTAAAAATTAAGCAAAAATTATTTTTTTTTTTGTATTTTTTGCCAAATTTTAAAGCTTAAAATAAATTTAAAAAAATTCGAACAATTACATATGATGTAATACAAAATGCATATGCTCGCTCTTACATATGTTCAAACATGCACAGTTTGCTATACATTTTCACTTTCTATAACTTACCTACGTAAAATGTTGTTAGAGATCGTCCATATTCGCAGTGGCGAGCAAGAATAGCCCTTTCCACATCTGTATTTAATGATAGCCAATCATCTTTTATCATTTTAAGGCAAGATTTGATCTATAAATTGTGCATTCACAATTTCCATCGCATCAATAATTTTTGTGCAAAGGATTACATTGTATATAATGATTGCTTACATGTTTGCTGCTCAACATCATGCCCGCTATCTTACAGCTGAATATTATACTAATCAGTACGGCTGGCACACTCTCGAAAATGTCATTAAGATCCGTTGCAGTTAATACGTACATTAACTATATTAAATTTATAATATTATTGAACATATTGAGATTTTTATCGACAAAGGAAAGAAAATGATTCAATGAATTGAATAAATAAATAATTTGGCATTCTTTTGCAGTTTTTAAGATTTAACATACATACCTGAGGTATCATAATACTAAAGCAGAACGTAAACATTGGCACGAAGCACATACATCTGTTGCGCAGCCTGTCATACGGCCATATTCCCGATATAGTCATGTATACCTTAGGAATAATATAGTACCGACTATTCCAAATGTCTTTTTTGTCAAACATTTTGTGAAATAGTATTACGGATTATCAGCGATTCCTTGTGTATGCTCATCATTCGGTGAATTATAGGAGCTTAGTTATCGATTTCTCTTAACGCGGTAAAGACAACGTAATAATTCAATAAGATAATACATGTGCAATTACTTGAACCCTTTCTCTTTCACATTTTCTTTCATCATTTCTTCTTTATCATAATAATAGGGTATATTATCTTCCGGGTCGTTCTTTGAACACGAAATAATGAACGCTTTTGTGTGTGTTTCGTTTCATGTTGAGAGAAACAAAAGTATGTTTCTTTTCAACAATTCAGAAAAAGCAAAGATCGCCAACGCAAGCACACGAGATTAATATAGAACATCGAATAATGTAATAATCGAATAATGTCATAATTTTATTAAACTTTACGATTTATGGAGCGAGATATATATATATATATATATATATATATATATATATATATATATTGGATTTGAGTTCAGTTAATGATGTGAATAGTGCGAACAAGGATTTTTATAAAGATAAATTCGGTTTTATAAACTTGTTTTTTGAAAGAAGTACAACGGAAATTTTCTACTATATTTCAGGAGCGTTTACTTCTAAATGATGGCACCATCGTTGGAAGGAATGGCATTGATATGAAAATTAGAAATTTTTACGAGTAATATATAACAAATTATTTCCTTCAATAAATGATTGAATTTATTTAAGCAACTGAATTAAAAAACTCAAATTATTGCTCTGTCTTAAAGTAATTAGTCAAATTTATGAGAAATGAATTACTTAGCTATTCTTTAGTGTTTAATCGAGAGTAATACGTAACGGTACGTTGGCGTAGAGGTCAGAATGACTTGGCGCTCTCTCTTTCTCTCTCTTACTCTTTAGCGAAGTAACACATTGTGAGCTACCATCGAAATACATTGAATCAATTAAAAGCTACATCAATTAAATCGGAATCAGTATCGTGAAATGCAATGACTTACAAAATTATGATTGTGTAGTCTGAAAATTTCAGAAAATTTTAAAATTTGAAGTAAAAAATGTAAAATTTAATTTCTCTTTATTTTTTTAAGCAAAAATTTTAAAAAACGTACCGGTTGATTTTGTTCATCTCATCTTTGGAAACTAAACTATAATGATAAACAAAATAATTAACAAAGATATACACATACACGAATGTGAAAAAAATGAGATTACAATTGTTGTACAGAATGTAAATGAAGTTATTAAATAATAATGTAGATAGAGTATATATAGTGAAACATATATACATATATTTTAAAATTTATAAATACTTGAATTAAGAGAGTCAACGTTAGTCCAATTAATCTTGAAATCTAAGAAAAATATCAAGAGAGAGGATTTATATATATATACCATTTTTTCTACATTACAAGATATTAATAATGCATGAGCTACTTTAATTATCATTGATATAATCATTGGAAAGAACGCAACACCGTGAATAAAGACATTGATGTTTTCAGAACTTTTAAAAAATAAAATTAATTATATGTACATATAGATATGTTTTCATTATTAAAAAAGTTTTATTAAATAATTTTTAAATAACTCTGATCAAAGTATCATATAGATAATGAAAACAAATAAAATATGCCATGAAATTTTTAAATTTATAAACTGGACTTTAGAATCAATCATATAGTATTACTTACCGTACCAAAACTTTCAATTGATAAAGTCACAATTTTTCCAGCAGTTAATTTGCAAGGTGATATAGTTCTGTTCGTGATTAAAAGAAATATCTTGCGACATCTTCTCGAAGTGTAATATCACTTTCCTCTGCAACTATCTTACAAAACGAGATTTTTATCAGTTTAAATAAAATAAAAAACTAGCGAATCAAATCTGTATTCTTACATCGATTCATATATAAGTACTAGTGTTGCAGATCATCAACGATTCCTTGTAAATTTTGGTCATTCGGTGAATTGTAAGAGCTTATCGATTTCTCTTAACGTGGCAAAAAGAACGTAATAATTCATTAAGATAATACATGTGTAATTACTTGTACTTGAATCCTTTCTCTTTCGCATTTTCAGTCCATTTATAATTTCCCTTTTATCGTAATAATAGGGTATATTATCTTGCGAATCATTTGAATGCAAAATAATGAACGCTTTATACGTGTATATATTCATCTCATTAAAGAAACACAAATATGTTTCTTTTTAACAATTTGGAAAAAGCAAAGATCGCAAGGACACGAGATTCATATAGAAAATATCGAATAATATATTATAATTTTATTAAACTTTACGATTTATGGGAGCGAGAGAGAGATATAGGATTTGAGGGCAGTTAATGATGTGGATATTGTGAATTGCAAGTTTTATAAAGATAAATTTCATTTTATAAACTTGATTTTTGAACAATGGAAATTTTTTAGTTTACTGTAGGAGCATTTTACTCTTAAATGAAGGCCATCATCACTGATAGGAATTGGCATTGGTAATAGTAGAAATTAATGAGTTAATATGTAACGAATTATTCTCTTCAATAAATTATTGAATTATAATCATTTAAGCAACTGAATTAAAATTATTGCTCTGTCTTAAAGTGATTGGTATTAGTCGATATAAAAAATTCTCAGAAATTTTTGTTTATGTGTTAGAGGAATAATTTCAGACAAATATTGTTATAAAAATATTACAGAAAAATGCTACGGTGCGGGTAGAATCGATGATGTCGAATAAGATTTTACACGTATTTGGGCTTACGTACATGTGCATATTTTACACTTATATGTATGTATTTTGTATATATGTGTATTTATATATGGTGCGCTACACGGAAAGAGGCTGTGGGAAAGATAGCGCCTACTATGCGAGATCTCCCGTTGCTGTTTCACTGTCGTGTTTACGAGAATGCTCACTTGGCGGCTTTAGATCCCCCCGGCCAACCTTCGTCCTCCTTTATCACTAGCCTGGGCCACGCGAGATTAGCCAACAGACATAGATTTTGCAACCCCCTTGATTCCGATCCAAGTTCGATTATTTTAAATTCGATTGATCGACGAAATGTTTATGTGGATGTTTGGATGTTCCCATTTTTCGTATCCTTAATCATTTTCGCACATATCAGTAAAATTTTTCAAGACAAACATTTCGAAAATTAAGTAGACTGAATTTAATTAAATTATTTTTTTAATTATATTAAAAAATTGTATTTTTTTTCAGGATGGAAACTTTTCAAGAAGCCGGTGTTCAAATGTTGAAGGAATTTAGAGCCTTATTGCAGCACTCGCCATTACCACTTTCTGGTACTCGTCTACTTCAGCTTTTGGCGCTTAATATGTTCGCTATCGAGACCACGCAGCTGAAAGGTGAGTTGAGATTTATTTTTCTTTTAACATCAAAGAAATAATTTCGTTTATATATATATTATATATATATATATATATATATATATATATATAAAATTTGTGAGATATTTTGTCTATCATTGATTAGATCATTAAAGTCAATTGTAATAGATTTTGGAAACTAAAAAAATCTACGAAACTTTCGATTAATTAATCAAGACATATCTATAAAATCAGTATATATATATATATATATATATATATATATATATATATATAGATTTACATATTTGTTTAGACAGTGTCGTTCTTTTGATTGTCAGATAATTTTCTCGATTTTAATTATGGAAGAGCACATTTCTGACGGAATAAAATCAACCGACTAACGAGCCGGTTGTACTCGTTTTACAGTAACGTTAATTCCTTTCGCGAGCTTTTCGTTTTAAAATGGACTACACGTTAGAAAACGAGATACCGAACCGATAACCATTTAAAATTTGCATTTTGCATGCTTATATTATGCATGAATGCATGTATAAATTCTATTGATCTGGATAAAGTTGCAAATATTTCTAGCGCAGCTTAAATCTAGAAAGTTTCCTTTTTATATAGAATTGATTTTCACATTTGCGTTGGAAATTTTGTTTTTAAATTTTTCATGCAAAATGCTTAAATTTTCCATGCAAATTTCAAGATAAAGTACATTTATTTTGGTTAGAATTGACGTGAAGAACACAAGATTAATTAAATAGATAATAAAATTAGTTAGATAATAAACCTAATGTGATTAATTGTGTAATTAAAGTTGAAAATGTTTTTTGCTGTCAAAGTTAATCTCTGTCACGGTCGAGATACATTTTATCGAGATGACTCGTTCTTCCGCTTTAGCTTGTCATCGACAAGCAACCGTGGTATGACGGTATATCCGGATAGATGTATCTTGACTCTCGACAATGACTCATGGCTGCCTGCTGGTCCGAGAGAGCACACCATAATAGCAACGAGTATTCCCCGAGAGTTTTTGCGCCTGCATGCAGGTGCTAGCCCTATATAATTATCACTAATTTCTATACGAGAGCGAAACTCCGCTCCAGGTTTCGCTTTTCTCAGAATGGACCTTAGCCTGAGTCATCAAGGCGTTTCTTTTCTTGTTGTTCTATTTCCGAGGTGAAACTACCCGCTCGAATCCTTTGCACCTGCTCGGGCGTTTCTTTGCCCTTTTGCTTTAACTACATAAGTTGCGTCCTTAGATGACTGGTATATCTTATTTCGCAGTGGTAACGAGAATTTAATAATGTCATTTTCGAGAAATTTGTACAAGCTGATCTCTTAGTTGCGTTTATAAAAGAAACAAAATTTATATTTGCATTTTAATGCGTGATATTTATTAATTATTCCTTTAAATTACTATCATCATTACTACGTTTTTTTAATCTTTTATTTTTTGTAATATTTTATGGCGCTAACATACGACATATGTAATATATTTTGATCGTTGATGAATTTGTACGTTATATAGATATCAAATAATTTAAATTATAATAGAGGAAATATTGATGCTATCGATCAATAATTTTAAAATCTATCCAGTATTAATAACAGAGGAATGGTAGAGATGTTACTATGCCAAAGAAGAGTCAGCTTAAAACGAGCATGAGCCGATATTACGGGATTTTAGTACCTGAATCTTTAAGCAGGCGTTACCATCACGTGCGAGCTATACCTGGCGCGACTTGTCGTAATATTGCACGTGCGTTAATCTGCAGTGGCTTCGTCGTATAAGTTTTCGCGGTTGAATTCTTCAGTTGGCACGATAACGGTCATACTCTCAAAGTTTTTCCGCGGACACGAGAATAGACTGTATTCAATTTTATGTCAATTTATCTCGATCAAAAGAAAATAGTTTTTGCAAAATTTTTAAACCCTCTCCTCTCTTTTAATATCGAATATTTATTTTAGCACACAAATATTAAAATTTTTCATCGAAATATTTTTCGAAAATTTGATATCTTTGAGATTTGATCGATAAAGTTCGTTTATTCCTCTGCGATTCTGCGTATATCTGTCTATTAAGAATTTTTTCGCGGATATAATCTTGTCCTCGGTGTAGTGATGATTCTCCATCAGCCAACCAGTAATTGAAATCGTAAACACTGTCGGTAATGGACCATTGAGTTTATGCAACCGTGTCGACATTGTCTGCGGTTGTCGGTCGAGGAACGTCAGGTCCCGCCTTCATCATCTTTAAACCGCCGCGACACATCCCTGTGGTTTGCTCCCCCGAATCGGCTTTCTCTTTGCGTATCAACGCTATGAATATCGAAGGTAGCATATGGTATACTGTCTATGACGTCTTATTTTAATATACTTGGAAAGCATTTTTTTCTTGCCTTCTTGTAACAATTAATTTTTTTTATTACTTTAGCCTGTGCTTATTTGATGCGTATTCTTTTTAATGTAATTATTATCGAAGCTTGAAGGCATAAGACACCGATTAATCGGAATTATGTGAAGAAAATTTATTTAAATTTTGGAAAATCTTTCCGAATTGAAACGTTTTTCAGCGATAGCACAAGTATTATCTAATCGGTTGCTAAGATGCGTATCGAGGAAGCTGATGGCGATCTGCGGGATCATTTCATGCACAGCACGACTGTACGCACGTACGGGGAACGAATACAGAGACCGAGAACCCCGAGGCTACCGAGGAATCGCATAACGCCAAGGCTGAGAGAGAAAGAGAGAGAGAGAGAGAGAGAGATGTCCCTAATGTCTATAATCTTGGATCATCTGCATCCGAACTGCATCCGATCTAGCTTGTGGCTTTGCGTACCTTAAATCTAACCACATTCTACTACTACCTGCCGCAGAACCCTATCAAGTATAGGATACTCGTTCCCTTTTTCTCCCGCCACGTATGTTGATGCATTATTAAATTGTTTCATTGTTTTATCTTCTCTTTCTCTTTTTTTATCCATCTCTCACGTTTGATTGCTCTCGTGCTCCGTTTCTCATTGTAGTATAAATGAAATTTTGAGCATTCAGACGATACATTTTTATTTTGTGAAAATTAAAACAAGAGGGATATATTTTCTAATATTTTCATTAATATTAAATTTAAAAGCTGTTTAGTTTAGATATTTAATATCCAAGTAAAATAATAAATACGTAAAAGTCAAATTTCACGAACAAAATTAATTGGTATCGAACAAGCTCTTAAATTATCTCGATTCGCCTGGTTTTTCTTTAAATAGTCTTCGAAATTTATAAGATTATTTGGTAGAGGACGAGTTTCGTATTACAATGTAAAGTACACGAAGAACGAGAGTAGACTACCACGCGGACTTGTGATTCCCGATAAAGAAAGTGTCGCGATACACGCTGGATAAGTGCGTGTCCGAATCCGAAGTTATTTCGACCCGATTGGAGAGAGAGCCTCGCGGACCTGCAATCGCGGAGAAGGGAGTCGTTTCTCGGAAAGCCGAGCCGGACGAAGGGTGAGGGAGGGAGGGGCTCGTTGGCATAAATTATCGAAAAGTACAGCCCTCGAAAAATCCAGCTCTCCTCTCGTGTGCGCGTACTCGCCTCTTCGAAATTGCCTCCCTAAAATATGAGAATTATTGCCCGTGGCTTTGTTCCGTCTCGCTCGCGCCTCTTGAGTTACTTTCTTATTTTGCAAAAGCTTCCTTCCTTTCTGACGACGGGATCCACGTATTCATCGGCGGGAGAGAAAGAGAGAGAGGGAGAGAGTTTCGCATCTCGTTGCTTGATCGCGCACGAATGCAAGTGCCGTTTGTTTTGATTTTTTATCTCACCGAGGAGAAATCATCTCTCCTCGTGCCAATTCGTAAATCAGCTGGTAAAAAACGAGTCTTTCAGTATCTTTCTTTTCTTCCTTGCTGAGCCCTTCTCACGCGCGGTGCGTGCGCGCGATTCTTTCGCGTGGCCAGTCGCGGTTCATTGACCTTTGAACTTTCTAACCGGCCAGACGCGGTGTCCGAATATTGTCCTGTCATTGCGCCTGGATATGGGTCTTCTGACGCGATGCGACGAGACGCGATCCTGCGGTCCAAATTAATCCAGTCTCGAGACTCGCGCTGAATAGTAGTATTATTATTCAGATTTGAATATGGCATTTGCCTGTCAAATATTCTCTGTCATGTTAGTAAGAGAGAAAGACAATGTCGTTCTTCTCGTCAATCGATTTGTTATACGTAAAACAATAGTAATAAAATTATATACCTCATGTATATTAGATGTAATATTCGTACAGTTTCTCTTTATATTTTTTTTCATTTTTAAATCCTGGATTGCTAAATATTTTTTCCTGCTTTCTTATTTAACTCAGAAAATAATTCGAAAAAAAAAAAATCTAAATGAATCAGATATACATAATACAGTCCAAATTTCTTCTAACTTTTTGTTCCTCCCAGGGAAAAGAAAGATGTGTAGATCAAACGTCAGAATTATTCGAAAAAAATATCGAGTACCTTCACTGAAAGCTTTAATTTGATTTTAATATCTATGTATAAAATACGCGAAGGATAAAATTATCTGTGATATCATATATCTTTGATAAATCGTCAGTTTTTTAACGTTGCTATTATACACTGCTTCCAAGCAAATGCGAGCCTTTACTTAAGAAGTACCTCTGGTTTCTTTGGCGAAGTCTCCGTGCGGAGACGATTTCAAGATGATTTCAAGACGATCTCCATATCCTACGTACTTAAGGATTAGCGCGGAGTTGTTTTGCAAGTTTTTGCGAGTTTATTTCCCTCAAATAATTTATAGTAAGGATGATTAGAGCAGCAGAGAGAGAAGATCCGCTAATCTGCTCAAGAGAACGCGCGTAAACGCATCACACTGCCGGTCTTTCACTATGCATCTTTTTAAAATTGCGTTTAAAACGACTTCCGGCTTAATGGTCAAAACATTCATTTCTTTGCATAATTAATGGTAATATTTTAATGGTAATATTTTAATTAGTAGTAATATTTCGTCACAATATTTGAATATATTAT